AGGGGTACGCTGCTCCCCCTTTAGGATTTCTGCTCAATTAGGAGCCACAACCAAAATCATTTCCTATTGCTTGTATGGATCAACTAGAAGATCCTTCAAAAAGAGCTATATTAAAACCAAGCAGCAAATAGAAATGGACACCATGTACAGTATTCTAAATAGTCAAGCTACAAGTATGGGTTTCTGATCCTGCACTAACCAACTGACTTACTGACTCATGGACCGCCTCTCTTCCATGTTCTTTCTGAATATGACCTTCAGCTGTTATCTTGTCTCACTATTGCTCAGGAGCTGATCTAACCTCCTATGCTGCCCTGTTCCTGGAAAGCACAAACTTCCTCTTGATTTAAAACCCAAATCTTTTTATGGATTTCTGCTACCAAGGGTTCTACTACTCAGTTAGTGTCTGGCCTGAAAGTTAGTCTCATCCCTTCCCGATTTGTTCTGTAAGTTTCTACCTATTTTATTATGACGTATTATGACAGCTCCTTTCCCACTCACCCCATCCCCACCCCAGTCCCCAAAGTATTCGAAGGAAAGGAATAAACATTTTTTTGTGTGTGTACCTACTATGGAAAGACATGGAATATATAAACAGAAAAAAAAAAAATGTTTAGGAGGTTTTAAAACAACCTTCTATAGGAGGAGCTACTTACCTAGGTTTGCAGGGAAATGTATGCTTCCCAGCACTGATTTATCGCTTTCTTAACTCTTTTAGAAAATTTTGTCTTTACTGGAGACCTGGATCAGAGTTTCCTTTCTTTCTGTATGGTAAGGACCATACAGAAAGGTCTTTCTGTTTTGTAACCCCCTCTCCTGAGTACTCCACACAAAGCTAGATGCCCCACTTTGCTTAACAGTCTGAGAAGGGTTCCTTCTTCTGCTGGGTTTTGTGGCTCTGCTCTGTGATCTAAAGTCTTCCTCCCTGGCCAGAAGTCTGTGCTGCCTTTTGTCACCATGGGCTTATTTTGCCTTGCTATGCTATAGGAAAGTTGTTTAAACCTTCTGGAAGGAGGAGTTGATTGCTTGACTGAAGTTTTAATTGAAAATACATCCCTCTAGGCTGGGATACAGATACCATAGTACATTCTCTGTAATACCATTAAATACATCGCCTATCACTCATGTTCACTGTCACATACGATATATATGTTATTTGACTGAATCCTGAAACCAATCCTACAATGAAGAAAGTCTCCAAGGGGTAAAATAATCAAGGACGAAAACGCCATTTTTCTGCCTCCAAAGACCAGGCTTATACCACTTTGCCACTAGAATTAGCAGCCGCTCCAATAATATTGAGACAGTTTAAATCTGTTTTGGTGTCAAAGGTGAAATATAGTTTTTCTCTTTGGTCCCAATACCTATTCCAGTAGATAACCTTGAGCTCACCCCAGCTTCTTCCCTGTCCTTAGGGTTCTGCTTTTCCCTCAGTTGTCCCTTAACCTGCTCCTATGCCCAAGCCCTGCCGACCAGCTTGAATTTATTTGGGGCTCTGTTGGAAAATACTACCTTCTCATTTCTCCAGAAGCACTCTTACGGGGCCATGTTGAACAGTGGATTTGTAATCAATTTTTCGTCAACATAATCCCAACTGCTTTGTCTCTTCCAGAAGTTCCTCAAACCATCTTGTCCACCAACAGCATTTTTCCTGTTTTCCAGGGCTCCGTTGGGTGCATTCATATTTTCACATTTGTCACTTCAGTGTAATTTTGGAAGGAAAATATTATAACGTTTCTTGGTACACAATTTTGAGGCAAAATCTCTTATCTAAGTTTTCTTTTTCTAGAATTAGTATAGCTCAGTATAACAGAGATCTGAGAAGACTTTTTAAAAATAAGGAAATACTTCTAACACTATGGCTTGCCACCCAAAGCTAATGAAGATCATCCTGAAGTCTATTACTTCTGGCATGACAGTTAGGTCTCCAGAGAAAATCACTTAAGAAAGCCTTGGTCCTTGACCAAGTAAAGTTTTCCTTCTATTGTTTTAGGTTAAAAATAAGAAAAGAATCACTCAGCAAGTTTTGGCCTATATATTGTCATTCTGTACAACTCCCTAAATATTTAAATCCAAATTAAAGCATAAACAGCCCAAAGAATCACTTTCTCTAGGCCCAAGGACAGTTTGATGGAGCAAATTTAAATAGTATCTATATGTTGCTTTGTTATGTATTTGCCTTGCCAACAACACAGTGTGGTAATTTAAAAGCTGTTTTTTTTTTTTTTTTTTTTTTTTTTTTTTTTTTTTGAGACGGGGTTTCGCTCTTGTTACCCAGGCTGGAGTGCAATGGCACGATCTCGGCTCACCGCAACCTCCGCCCCCTGGGTTCAAGCAATTCTCCTGCCTCAGCCTCCTGAGTAGCTGGGATTACAGGCACGCGCCACCATGCCCAGCTAATTTTTTGTATTTTTAGTAGAGACGGGGTTTCACCATGTTGACCAGGATGGTCTCGATCTCTCGACCTCGTGATCCACCCGCCTCGGCCTCCCAAAGTGCTGGGATTACAGGCTTGAGCCACCGCGCCCGGCGCAAAGCTGGGTTTTTTAATTAATGGTCTTGACCTATATTTTGCTACCAATAGAAGTCTGGTTCCTAACTATAATTCCATACTAAATTAACTGCTTGTACATGAAGAAAAATCTAAATTAATTGACATGTAAAGGGGTAGCTCTAAGTAGAAAGCCATAGAATTGCATGATAGAAGTTTAATATCATTGTTCTTTGCATCTGAAAATGTCATCAATAGCACGCATATGCTATTTTGACTGAAGGGCAAAAACCCAACATACTGCATGCACCTGCACAACTCTCTGCAAATGTTTAGGGTAACAGTTCAGAGGACTTATTATTGACGGCTTCTTTCCAAGCTGTAAACATTCAACATTACATAGAGGTAGGTTTTAACATCTTTTCTGTGGCTCACTTTGCATTTTAGATCCTCCCCCACTCAGCTTGTCCATAGCAGTTTAAAAACCCATGCTATTCAGAAGACCTTTTAGAAGGTTTGCAATAGCTTGGTTTTACAATGAAAAGACAGTCTTCCTTATTTGTGACTTCAAATACTATTTCAGGTTTCAGTAATTTTAAGTAATTAAGGAGATAAATAAGGCTTCATGAATAATATCCATTACAAAATTATTTAAAAACAATTTTAAATACTATTTTATTAAAAGTTTATAGATTGTAGAATTAAAACATGGACTAGAATTTGTAGAATGTAATAGAAGCACTAAATACATGAAAACAGACATTTTCACTAGAATTAGGCTAGAAGAAACATCACAATTCTAGAAATAAGTATTCAGGATTAACTCAGAGAAGCGGATTTAGCTACTCGCTTTGTAATTTAAAGTGCATTAGTTCTTTGTACCTTAGACATGCTACAATAATCATTTTCCTTACCTATTCTTATCACAGACAATGACTTACTTTCAACCAAATAAAAACATTGGTTTCTATGGAATTATTTCTTTGATGATTCTGATATTGCTTATATTTTTATTGTCTCTTCATAGTAATGACAAATTGCTATTAAACAATTTACACAGTTGACATTATTAAACATCTAGTTACAATACCTGGCATTAAAATATTTTGATTTTATGAAATGTTATACTATATGCTTTATGTTTTTTAAAAAATTAAGATCATAGCCACTAGCCATAGAATCCTTTCATATTTCAAAACTTTAACTGATATAATTTCTCTGCCTATAGTAATTATTTTCAATAATTTAAAATATTCAAAATGTCGTAACTACTTACTAGTGCTCATTTATAACCTAAAATAATCTGTTGTTCCTATTGTTTATAACTTTATTATTATGCTTAGCATTTGAGGCTCTATAATCTGGGACTTTCATCACGCAACAAATGTTCTTTCTACCACTGTGTAGCTGAACCTATCATTCTATGCAAGATAATATTTTAAATTGTCCCATAAATATATTAGGCTCATTCTCATCATCATTCTTTGATTCATATTGCTCCCCAAAATGTAACATCCTCTTCTCTCTTTTTATCATCTATCTATAATGATCATTCAGAATACCTATATAATTAATTACCTGTAAAGAAAGAAAATTAGAACTTCATTTCATACATTCAAAAATATTATAAAGTCTAAAAATTAAAGTATAACACAAATAATACAAAATATATCTAAGTATTTGAACACAGAATAAAGTCTAAATATAAAACCAATGGAATAAATTATAAATGATCACTGGATTTCATAAAAACAAATTTTCATACACTAAAAATAACCATTGAACAAACTGAAATGATAATAAACTGAACTCCTCCTATACCAGAAAGATACATGTAGAAAGATATCTTTTTAAGTTTCCCTTTCCAAATATTTCAGAGAACACCTGAAAGTTATTTATATCAAGCAAAACAAAAATATTACAGTCAAACATATCTCCAGTAAGGATTTTCTGCAGGTTTATTTTTAGGAAATCTGCTTATTTTTTCTGTTTAATTCTAAACCTTCTCATTAGGTATTTTAAATGCCTAGCCTCCATTTTTTTTTCAACAAATGTTTTTATTGTACTACAGTCACATGCCAGGAATTGTGCTAGATACAAAAATATACTGATGTGTAAAACAAATATGGACCCATCACAGAACTGAAGCCTAGTGGAAGATAAACTAATCAAATAATCACACAAATTGTGGTTTAAAAAGAAAAGGTGCAGAGCGCTATGACGGCATATAAAAGCAGCTTCACCTACTGGGGATATGGGATATGTATATGTCAAGGAAGACTTCTTATCTACATAAAACTGTAAGCTCATAAAACAGCAGGGGCTTTATCATAAATAGACAAATTCTGCACCTTTCTGCATGTAACACAGTAAGTCTTCTCTATTTGTTAAATAATTTGTTCCAACAAAAATTTGAGGCTGTCCTTACTAACTAGCCTTCTTTTTTCAGTAGGGTGCACGAAATCAGCTTTAGAATGATCAATACTGTAGACTAGACTCTTTGAGACAGTTTAAAAATAAATACTTTTATTCTTATGATTAAACAAGTTAAAAAGAAGTCTGTTTATATGGTGATTTAATAATCAATATTATTAGACTTAATAGAACACTAAACATCAAAGGAATAACATTCATATTTCTTAAAAATAATTATTCACATAATTCAGGTACTAAAATAGGTTTAAAATTTTTTTCACTAACAGTACACATAGGTTGTTGAAACTTTTTAAAAAGCATGTATTTTCACACTGTGTATCCTGGAAGTTTATTTATTACTAATTCACAAATATCTTTGCATTGCTTGGAAATATTTAGTGAACCAACATCATCATTGTCTTCTTCAAAGTGATCTGATGTACTGCTATCTAGGACATTAAGTTCTAGTTCAGACACATTTGAAGGCAGATAAGAACTCACTTGGGATGTTCTTGGTGACTGGCTTTTTTCTAAAGATTGGCAACTACTTCTTGTTGGAATAGAGATGTCTTGATCACTCTTTGTAACTTTAGAATTGTGCATACTATTTCGACCTTTCTGGTTTTCTTTTTCTTCAGTCCAATGGGATGAAGATAAATCACTGGTAGAGATACTACATGCTTCCTCCAAACTTTTATCCTGAGTCTTTGAAATATGAAATTTTCTGCATGAGTGTACAGGTGACCCAGCTGAGAAAGGTGGGCTAAGAATAGAACTCTTGTCACTACTATTTTTCTTTTTAGACAATCTTGTTTCACTAGACTTGCTTGTATATTGACTATGTTTTGGATTTTCTGTCCTTGAACTGCTATCATGAGCTTTTAAACTTCTACTGGTATCCTCAGTAGTATAGAAATCTTCAGAATAGCAAGGGCTAGACAAGTCATCTGAATACTTCAGTTCTGAGATGTTTTCATTCCAACTGTTTTTACCTGGTCTATTTTCACTTATATCAGCTATAAGAATATTGTCATCTGTGGTTTTGACCTGTCTAATGTCTATTTCTTTATCTATAATTCTGTCAACAACAGCATCCTGTTGGAAAACACATGGACTTTGGATTTGCATTTCCACATTTCTTCCCAAAATACTTGCATGGGTGAGCCTTTCTGGAATAATGAAATTTGCAGGATTCACAATTTCTATCAATGAAACATTATTGGTTCCATTTTTACTGCAATCCACTGTCTTTTTCTCAGTTGTACGTTTCAGTTTAGCTTCTTTACTTGTGCTGGGATCATCAAAAACTCCACTCATTTGTCTTGAGGTATCACTATTTTCAGTAAAAGATGCATCTAAATCTAAATGCTTATCTTTAGGCAGCTGATGTGGCTCCTGGCTTTGTTCTGCAAAGCTTAATAGTTTAACTTTGGTTGATGGAATTCTGAATTTTGTACCCAACATTTGTGCTTGTGTTTTTCTATATAGTTCTCTTTTTTCATGTACCACCAACATACCAGGATTTGTCTGCTTTAAACGTAGTCTTAGTGTATTTGTTAAGCCATAAAGTAGCCTCCCTTTTGCAACTCTTTTTTGGAGGGTTCCACTGTTCTTTTCAGAATATTTATCTTTCTTAGAGTTTCCAATTTGGTTCTTTTTATAATGAAGACTCACTGACTTTTCACATCCCCCCACAGAAAGTTTATCCTTCTTAGATTCAGACTGGCATGTGGATTTGGCAGAAGATTCTGGTGACTTCTTCTCCTCAGTCCTATATAACCAGGCTAAGTGTGGATGTATTTGAGCAGGACTTGTCACAGGTTGTTCATACAACAAGGACAACTCAACTAACAAAGCATTTAACAAAGGCAACTGCCTTATTGTATTAATTCTGTTTTGTTCAGTTTGACATGTTTGATTAATTGCTCCTACATCCTGAATATGTGGAGGATTTACAAGCATTGGAGGATGCTCATGTGTTGCAGAACTTGGATATTTTAGACGACTCCTGTGTGTTGGGGGATTTATATAGTTTTTTTCAGGAGACACACTACTCATTTCCTCAGGTACATTCATTTGAGGCTCAATGGTGATTTTAGCCTGTGCAGGAAGTGGTTTTTCTTGGGTCAAGTTAGTGTAATACAAAGGAGGAGGGCAAAATATATTGGTCTCCATGTCCAACTCTGTGACTTCCTCATTTAGGGAGCTAACATTCCTCTCACTGACAGCACTTGAACAAGTAACAATAGAATTGGTTTTGCCATTCTCCACAGAACCCACATGATCACATTCGCCCTCACTTTGGAAAACTATTTCCTTCAAGTCCTTCTGCGCCTCTGGGATTCCTAACTCCCCCAGCAGCCTATCGGCCTCTTTTGGGCTTGGCTGTGAGGCTGGCTGCTGTAGCTGCTGTCTTTCCTGCGGGGTTTGGGGACTGACCTCCGCTCCTCCTCCCGTGGGGGTGAAGGTGAGGGGTCGCTCAAGATGGCCCAGCAGGTGGCTTCCCAGGTCAGTAAGGCGATAGGCCAGTGCAATGTCCCCGGTCCGCGCGCCCACTCTATTACGCAGGGGGAAACGTCCCCGGTGCAGGTGGGAGCACCCGGAGGCGGCCGGCCCCACGACACTGTGGGCTGCGGTGGCCAGCGAGATGTCGCAGGCCCCCAGGAGCTGCGGGGCGGGCGTCAGGAGCCCGGGGGGCAGCTGTAGCAGCAAGACGGCAAGCGGGGTCCGCAGGAGCCGGCGGTGCAGGGTGGCAGGGGGCAGGCGGAAGAGGCAAGACTTGCCGCGACCGAAGCGGATCGCGCCGGGCCAGCGTTCCGGGGCGGGCACGCCAGGGCCGTCCGGAGGGTAAACCAGCAGTGTGGGGAAGTCCAGCAGGCGGAAGGCCACGGCGGGGCACAGAGCGCGCGGCGACGAGGCCTCCCCCTGCTCCTTTCCCTCTTCTTCCTCCTCCCGCTCCACTGCGGCAGCGGGGGGCGGCGGCGGCAGCGCGGCTTCCAAACGCACCCAATCCACCAGCAACTCCAGCGAAAAGAGCCGCTCGGACGGCACAGCCGCCATGGCCGTTGCCCCAGGAAACGCCGCGGCGGGCTCCGCAAACCGGAAGCGACGCCCTGGGCTATCGCGGGAACAAACGGCGCCTCTGGCAACTGTCTCGCGAGAGTAGCGGGACCGCTCCGGCAGGTCCCCGTGCGTGTTTGCTTTGGGAATTTCGCTGCTCAGTGTGCTGGGACCCTTTGTATGCATACTTGGTGTGAAACATTTTTCTCCTCCAAACTTGTATAAAGACAATTGTTGATAATAATGCCGGGGGTATAAGTGGTCAAAGACAGGCAGTGAGTGTTTTTTGCGTTTTTTTTGAGTTTTATCACTGCAGATCTTACGTAATTTGGGGGTCAGATCCATATAGCTGAGGAATACTGAAAGAAAATCAGGACTGTCCGTCCTTTCCCATGCTAAAGAAAGCCAGTTACTTAACTGTCCACAGTGGGCCTTCTCTGTGACTGCTGTCCCACCCAAAAGATGGTGACACGGACTGCTCTGATGGCCAGGGAGCCCCTCATTGGTAAATTAGGGCAGTACTGAGACACACACACAGTGTAAATACACTGGCAAAAACTCTCCTTGGCTAAACTTTGGTCAGGCCCATCTAAACCTTTCGGACTAGGCTTTTGACCTTGGCTTCCAATCCTGTGGAGCCTGGAATCACCGAGTTGTAGTGAGAGTCTTGCTACAGCCGTTCAGAGAGAACCCCCAACCCCTTCATACCTGATGACTTTCCATATCTGGTCAAATTTTGCATTTTCTGCTGTTGATATCTGACCACCCTGGCCTGCCTTCAGCAAGAATCCTGTTAGGTCTGTTTAATCAGAACTCTTCCATCCCTGCTGTTTCCTACTAGTAAGTTTCCATCCACTTGACCCGGCTCTCCCTTGGCTATAAATCCCCACTTGTCCCTGCTGTATTGGGAATTAAGCCTGGCTCTGTATTGAGGTCTCTTTTCTCTTACTGCAGTAGTTTCTGAATACAATGTTTTTGCCACTTCAACTACTGTCTGGCCCTGTTTTTTATTTGACAACATTTTTAGCTGAGCAATCATGATGCATGAGAGTAATGTTAATGATTCCATCATTAAAATAAATGTGTATACCTAAATATACACACACATACAGAGACACAGAGATCTTACTGCTCTATCCAGATATTTTAAGAAACATACTCCTAACCTCCTCCTAGCTGGCCAGCTAGGAATCCAAGGCTAGTATATGGAGAGCCTTGAATGCCATGGTAAGGAATTTGGACTACATTCCATATAAACTGTTTTGATTGAATAAGTACATGATATCAATATTTGGAAATGTAGAGTGGGGAGGCATACAAAGGATGGATTCTACTGATTAAAAATTAGATTCAGAGCAATCTATTAGAAAGCTACTGCAGTGGTCTAAGTGACAGATAATTATGACCTGCACATGATCAGGGTTAGTAGAAATTAAAAAGAGGTAACAGAAGAGGCATTTGTGATGGAGGAATTTTAAAATTTGGTGAATGGGAGAGAAAAGTCATAGGTGAAATATTTCTGCTACAGAAGGTGAAAATATTGAGGAGGCACAGATGTGATGGAAAAAAGTACTTTGAGTTTGAGATATGTAGAGTTTGAGGTACCTGCTGGGTGTTATATATATACAGCTTTATTCAGCTTTATAAATTATAGTTATATTATGTTAATTCAGTGCTGAGAAAAACATTGTGAAGCTCAAGAGAAATTCAGGACTGCAGACACATGATGCTTTAGTGTGAAGACATGAGATAGAAGTCTCATTGCGATGTATAAATACAAGCTACTTCTCTTGGTTTTGAGAATCTTGCTGTATACTTGCAGAGGATCCTCAATGGATAGATGATGGGGAGTGATTAAAAAATGACATAATTACAAGTGAAAAGCAATGAGATATTGAGTCCATGTGCACCAGAAAAATACAGTAGACAAAATTCCTCCTAGAAGACATCCTGTAGATAGCCTTTTGGGTAAGGTTAATAGTGTGCACTAGTAGCACTTATCTCTTACAGATGAACAGAAAAAGCAAAGTCACTCTTCTAGAAAGACATTACTTCTGCAATATGTAGTTTCTGCAATAATACATTCTCTACCCAGCTATTCCACATGACTGGTATGATAATATATGAATAATATTTTATAATTGTAAATAATACTAAAGGTAACAAATAAAATTTTGCCATGACGAAGATTTTCCCCATGTTTCTACACCAGACGTGGAGAGGTAGCACAGTGCATAGCTGAGAGCCTGGGTTATGGAAGCAAACTCCCTGGCGCAAGTCCTGATTCTTTTACCTTGTACTGGTTCCTGAACTCTCTGTGAATCATTATCCTCATTTGAAAAATATAGTTACAGTAACTATCTCATAAAAATATTATATGTGTTAAGTGAATTAATAGTAACAAAACTATTAGAACAGTGCCCAGCCTATAGTAAATATTTGCTAAAATAAATATTGTTTTATTTATTTGCCACATGGCAGACTTTTTAGCCCAATGTTTAAAATAATGATATTATAGTTAGCAAAAAATAATGTATCCAATATCGGCCCATTATTTTCAGTATGTAAAAGTTTTTCTGCCCCGTGTTTTACTTTTCATGCAGGAGCTAGCTGTTTTTGACACAAGTCAAGGTCAGGCTAGGCAAGAGACTATGGATTATTGAGATATAAAAAGCTACTGTCATTGGAGAAAGAAGTGGGGAAGCACGCAAATAAAAAGTATGAATTTCAGTGTGTGCTATGCTGAGTTTGATACCTGATATACACCCAGGTAGATAGATCTAAGTTAGATATATGGATATGAAACTTAGAAGAGCAATCTGGGCTGAAAATATAAGCTAGGAGATATCAAAATTTGGATGGCAACCTAATTTCTTCATATAAGACCTGCATTAGTATAGTAATAAGACATTATTTTCTTCTTTTATGTAAATTACTTTGAAACAGTGCATACTGCAAGAATTTTGACTGGATCACTAATGATCAGATATGATGTTAACTACCTTTTCTAGGGGAAATAACTTTGGGGTGAGAAGGGGCAGAGGAAGTCAGCATCATCAACTAAAGTAGTACAGCTTCGAGACATGATGGGGCTAATAATCTGGAGAGAAAGCAGAAACTGAATTAGTAAAACTCACTGAGCTGTGTGAGTCTCGCTCTTTAGAGGCAAACCTATGCCGTCATGGGGCTCTGAACCCCAAGGGATGGATTCAGCAGATGGATCATTGTCCCAGGAGTTGTAACAAAATGGCAGTCGTGGAGTTAAGTAGGTGAGAAGTATCATATCTGGAGCAGTTGATCTAGTTTGGAGCAGAAGCCCAGATATATAGGAAATGTCATAGGGCCTGGTAAAAGTCAAGTGCATGTCATGGATCCAACCTAATCTACGTAGCTTCAGACAATGGAAGGGAGCTCCTGGGCTGTTGAGGGAAGTGACGTGGCCATCCAGTTGTGTGGACTGAACAAACACTGATTAGGAGAAGTTCGTGTCTAGTGGACATGAAAATGTCCAAGGCTTACTCTAGAAGCACCAAATACTAATTCCAAGTCTCACTGTCAGGGACATCCTGCTGCCTACAGACATACTGGCTTAATCAGGATTAGTTCTAGAACCAAGTATAACCACCCATAATTGGCAGGGACAGAGGGGACTGAAGACATCCTCTCCTGCCAGGTGGAAGATACAGAGCTGAGGGACAAAGAACCCGGTGGATCTGACTAGGAGGAAATGAAATTCAACATCACTTATTTCAGAACAATTCTTTACACCAGTGTTTCCTTTCCCCAGCAGAAAGAATGTAACACAAATACCGCATGATCTTACTTAGAAGTGGAAGCTAGACTTTGAGTACACTTGAATGTAAAGATGGGGATGACAGACACTGAGGACTACAAGAGGAGAGAAGGTAGGGAAGGAGGGTTGGAAAACTACCTATCAGAGACTATGCTCACTATGCGGGGGAAGGGATCATTTGTACACGATACCTCAGTCACCTGCAATTTAGTAAAATAATGAAAGACCTAAAATAAGAAAAAATTCTGGAGGAAAACTTCTTTAAAAAAAGAAATGTAATCTGCAGTCTTGAAAATAGAAATGTGAAAAGACCAAGTGAAAGCCTTTTTCCCCTGACCATGGTTTAAAACCCCTAGCAGGTGCTTGTTTGCATGGCAAACCTGGGAACCTTACCTCTTAGAATTCCCTGAGAGACAGACTGGGAAGTTGGGGGTTCTTGTTGCAGCTCCCCTTTTTCTCAGGTTCTCCTCTATTGTCTCCAAAGGGTTGCATTTCAGGATTCTAGATACATATTGTATTTCTGGAGCAAGAAAATTTCAATCAGGAGCAGCTGATTTCTAGTCATTCATTCAGGACTTCAGATAAAAGCCTGTTTAAAGCAGAAAGTTGCCCTGCCTCTAGACCTGATTAGAGGCTCCTGAAATCTAAGCTGGATATTTCCCTCTTTGCTAACTGTGTTACAAATGGACCTCACACAACTTAAATACCACAAATGACCAGAGCTTTAAGAACATTCACCTAGACATGTTTCATCATTGGTAAAGACGACCTGACTCTATCTTCAGAATAAATCTCCTGTGTTTGAATGCGTATCTTTTTCTTTGTTTCCCGTCTTTTCATTCCCTTCTATTTCTAAATTTCAGGAAAGGGGGAATCTTAGCTCTTCCATGTGTTGTCATTAAATCAGGGGCAGAGTTATAATCACAACATGATTACCATTTCCAATATCACAGATACAAAATAGCTATGGTAAATAAATGCAAATAACCTCAAAAATTCTGCAAAATGGTACCAAGACTCTGCATTGCATTTTCAATTTCTATTTTCAACTTGCTAGAACTTGATATTGGAAATTCATTCACTTAAGAAGAAGGAAAAGGAGAAAGATTAGAGGATGGAAGGGAGGGGCTTGGGGTTGGAGAGCAAAGAGAGGAACTACTAGAGATTAAAGGGAAAGAACGGCCTAAACTCCTCTCTGATAAATCTCTCTACCAGAAAGGAAGGGGAAAAAGAAATTATAAAGCATCCTAAGGTATTGGAAATTCGTGAGTTCATTAACAAGCTAAATAGTATGTACAATTGGTAGGAGTGGTTTAGCGACGATTATTGGACTGTCCTTGGCAATTAGAAGTGTAGCACAGTGGAATCAACATAGGCTTTGAAGTTGAGCACTCCCGTATTAAAATATCAGCCTCTCCGTTTTACAACCGACAAGTTCTTCAACTCTGGGAATTTTCCTGCTGTATTCTCTCACAGATTTTCAGGACTATGATGTACATGTTAAAATGCAGAATCTTGGGTCCATCTTCCCGAGATTTCGTTTCCTAGGTCTGAGGCAAGGCCCAGAAATATACATTTCTAACTATCATCCCAGATGATTCCTGATAACAGGGAGTTACTGAACTTTTCTTTGA